CAGTAAACGAGTGGTTCTCGATACACATTGCATGTTGATGATATCAAAAAAAGAACGCAAACAAGTGTATCATGCCATACATTTCGAATTTCTGCATTCGCACAGGTTCCGTCTAATTTCTGAACGAATCTTGGTGAATACCATGTGCTACAGAAAGCATGGATTCTCTATGGACAAGCAACCACTCTCAGCAGTCAATAATCTTAGCCATAGAGTTATGGAGCACATTGGATTATATAATATATGGATGTCATTCCTAATGGTGAATGTGCTGCTACCCATAAGAGCGATATCAATCATGATCATCATCAACTTTATAATTTCATTTGAATTGACTAGTTCCGCTTTTCTGTAATTCAAACACACAAGCAGTTTTTAGAAATAAGCAACCGATCAGAACAAGGATAGGCGAACTCAGGTGATTGGCCGGAGCCGCTAACCAATCAAGACGGCTGGCAGCAATTCAGTCAACCAATCGTTCGACATAGACATTCCCCTGTCCTCGCTCTTTCCCATTATTAACCGTAATTTTTGCACAATAAATGAATTCCTATACGTTTTCAGCTGTTTTCTGGTTGACTGCCTGTGCAGTTCCTATCTGGACGAGGAAAGACGATCCTTTGAGAATCCAGTACTGGGTTAAATCCTGTGCGGCTACAACATAAAGAGCCTTATTTTTTACATCAGTGCATTTGGAATTCACGATTCCATGTAAATTAGGGGTCGATGATTACCACGCTGCATGTTACCAGATCCATCCTCGGTATGGGTACGGAGATAAAACGTTGAATATATTGCAACCTTTCGCGACCAATATAAACGCTGGCAAGTAAATAGCGATATCACCGCCTGGATGTGAGCAGGTTCAGACCTAGCCCACCACATAAATTTAATGACAAGGTAGAAACAAAGACCGATGTGCCTGAACTCAAAACCATCGGCTCCTCACGTGTGACTGGCAAATACATCCAGGAGTTATGACTCCCGGGGTATCTCATTGCTCCAATGAAACACCGTGGTTGCTGGTAATCATCAGAACCCCGTTCCAGATGCATACGAGTTTGAGTATCCGAGGGAAGACCCCGAAAAATACTTGGTAGTCTTCACTCTCCGGAATTATTTTACCTTTGAATTTTTCATAAAATCTCCAGGACGCTAAACCTATAGCTCTGTTCCGTTTTCCTTCCAAATTGTGTGCACAACCGATGCATTACGAGTTGGTGGAACTGGAAAAATCCCCAAACATCAAGGGGAAGTAAGCGTTCCACTTTTTTGTAATCTTCTTATCACGCTTAAGAACCGAAAGCACTGTCTTTTCAAGTGCATGATAATACTAGTACAAGTGCGTAATACAGAACTGGGAGTGGAAAATGCTGAATTACATACATACACACATACACAGAGTGCTCCGAGTATGTTCCTTGTGTTTTAGTGTTTAACTACCGGTTAACAGGGGAAGACTCCTCAACTGAACAAAGGCCTGTTTGCTATGCAATGCACCAGTGATAAATACAGACGAATATGAAGCGAAATAAAATTTTCCAAGACAAACAAAATAGAAGATTCAAATGCGATGGAAATGTTTGTGATGATCGACAAAGAGCACTGGACAGCTGTTTCGTCCTGTTTGGGACTCGTCAGCACTGTATGGAGAATAAACGATCTACCAAGGAGTGAAACCTACACCGAAGACCATCAAGAGTGCCTGGTGCCTATTAACAATCAAATGGGCTAATCCAAGCTTAATACTTAAAACTGAAGATTCTATACAAGCCTACTATTTGAAATAAGCGAACTAAAGAAGATATATCAATTTCGAATGGCATCGGTAGTTCGATTATTTTGCCCATCAGGGACTGGGTTGAATGCATTTGAACTGGCAATATAAAAAAAATCGGTTTCGTTTCAGGATAAGGAATTTTTGCAGCTCAAGGACTGACGTAGCCTATTCCTTTGACAGTGATGAAGGAATTGTGACCGCCTTTTTTGTGAAAGGTCTTGGGGGTCCAAAAAAACTATATTGCAATGACATTACTCATGAGTAGACAAATCAACGAGGAAAAAGATAACCTAAAGGTCAGTTCACTTGGCTTGACATCAAAGTAGGGAGACAGATGACGATCTGTTAACTCCAATCGAAAGCCTTTCACCAAGTCAGGACTTCCATGCAGGTCCAGGCTGATTCACCAATAAATCAATTATCCCACACCACTACTCACAGTAAATGTGAGCCAAATGCAGAACCGAGCAGTCGTCTTCGTAAAAGAAAGAACGAGAGAGGGTTTTTGAGGGCCGTGTGCAACGGGTCCAGAAACATGATACACAGCTGGTAAAATGTGAAAGGAGATTTAAATGGAACGACGATTTTAGAGAGGCAATTGGTTGCGCTTACTACGACGTGAGAGCTAATGTGTGATCAAGCATGATACACTAGGAGCACAATAGGAAACAGGATCACCGTTGACACATTGAATTCACTTCAGTTGAAGAATAGCAGGTGTACGCTTTGGTGCTCACATCTATGACAGTGGATTTGAGGAACAAAATTGCTTACTCAAGATAACATTAGAGAAATGATGCAAATGAAGAGGAGTACAAACATGCGAGACTCAGACACAGACACGTGATCAAGTTCTAAATATGGTGGACCATGTACTTTTCCCTCGGAATACCTATGCTTTCTTTTATTACACAATTGTGTGTTCTGATCATCAGACGGGGCGAACCTCATTGTCAAGAAAACCTGCTGTTCAGTGATGGAAACCGGCAACCTAAGCCCCGGGACTTGGAGTGGCGAACCACATAAGGCCCCGTTAGGTCAGGCGTGGTATTGGACCGACTGCAGTTTTCTGAACTAAAGACCGACTATCGACCTCGTTCGTATTCGTCGAATCAAACAAATGGAAAAATGTCGCCCAATACCGTTCATTTAGCCAATAGCGATGAGATAAAGGAAAAATAAAATAACATAATGGGGGTGATTCGACGGATAACTTTCGGAACAAATATGCACTCACTATTCCTGATCAAGTCAAACTGCGGTATCCGTACGAGGCAAAACACTCGCCAATTAACTTTACATGGTCTTAGGCAAATTGATCCTACGTGGAAGCCTAGTATCGCCTACATTTTGCGATTGCGTTTTTGGGGAGGGGAGAGGGGCTAATAAGCCGACCCGAATGGAATTTTATGAGAGTTTGATACAAGACACTTCTCCAGCGTCACTCTGTTCACTTCGAGGATGCTCCGCTAGCCTTTGCAGAGTCATGGACAGGCTGCAAGGCAGCACTGCCCGGTTTACGGTGTCTGATTAGGAACACATTGAGCATTCGAATGGTGTAAATTCAGTCCAGAGATCCATGTATCCCTATTGGTTTGACAGATTTACTTTCAGATCGTTGGGCTAGAAAGGAGATCTAGTTCACCCACTTAGAAACCAACGTTATCACATGCTTCAAACCATCTCGTAGAGGACTTTAGGTCTCGAGTACTCTCAACCTGATCTAGACCACCTTTTAAGCATTTTTGTATGACACACTAGTGTGACCGGGTGAACCCCATAGTCATGAGAACTTGCTGTTCAGTGAAGCGAACCGGTAACCTAAGCCAGGGGACTCAGAGTGGCAAACAATGTTAAGTCAGGCGTGGCATTGAACCGGACGACAGCAAAGCTGTCTACCACCAAAGTTGGGTGGCGGGTCTCGAACCTCGGACTACAGGGTCCAAAGCACGTCTGTGACAGCGACTAAACCACTAAGCGAACAACACTGTGGTGACCGATAAAACATGCCTCGGAATCTTGGATTGGCAAGCGAGAGTTGATTAGACAATGGAGGATTATCCAGAGATATGACAGTTTGCTGGCTTTGGAGATGCGATTTCTATCAGATACCTAGCCCCCCCCCAATACCACTTGACCTTTTTCCTTTGACATGCACTTTCATTCCTCGGAAAGTAAAGTACTACTGGTAGGGTGGCAATGGCCGTATTTCGGGGTGAACTAGATTCGTGAACGTTATAATGCTATGTTGCCAATTTTTGTGGCCTTTTATTGCAAAGAGATCGTTTGTCGAACAATAACTCGTTTCCGATCGTCCATGCTTACTTATTGGATTAACGATTGACCACTAGCTTCCGAAAGCCTCAGTATGGTCGGGGTGGGTGTCTAGGGTTGCGGCTGGTCACCCTGCCCTTGCACCTCGCGAAATGCTCCCATATGACCAAGCGTTGCAAATAGCCTCTGCTGAGGAAGTCCTACTCACTGTCTTCTCGTGGCAGAGGCGTTTTCCCACCAAAGTGAGAGGACGAAAAGAGGACATCTGGGTCTATTACCGGGTTGTTGAACCAGTGGCAGTTCACTTAGGGCAGTTTGCTAAAAACCCTGATTCCAAACCAACCAAAAAGAAGCGTACCAACTACACCCACACACCTTCATGTTTGTGGCAGTGGTCACCGGCTCAAATGGGCATCGGTGTATTGGGCACTTTGGACGTTTGACCCCGTCCAAAGGGCGTATGATCCAATGAACTGGACACCGGACCCCAATGGAATGCTGCCTCTGAGCTCCGTCATGTTGTCTTGAAGGTCTGGTTTGCTAGCCAAAGGTTTTTTTTTGGGGGGGGGGGGGGGGNATCCTCTTTCTCGATCAGGGTAACCGAGAAGTAACATGCCCAAACAACCTATGAACACCATTCCATTTCGCCTGTTCGCCGAGCTTGGCAATTTGTTTGCCAACGTTTCATCACCACCTATCAACGCATTCGACAGATTTCTTTTTGTTCATAGGTTGTGGTTACCAGTTCTCTGTAATTGGTTACGTGTTAAACTAAAAAAAATGACCACCAAATCAGCCGTTCTAATATTTAAAATCTTGAAATGGGCCCGGTAGCGTACAGCTCCGCTGGTTATGGATGTAGTGTGCTGTGGTTTCCCGAAATAGTCGCCTACAGCTATCATTAATTATTATGTGCAGGCAGAATGCTGTAACACGAGGAACATACATGGGCAGAAACAGTGGACCAGTGACAACCACAACGTTGTGCGCGCGACGTGCGATGGATCGCACTTTTTTCTCAAGGTCATTCCAGGCATGACGATTGAATCCGACACCAACCTGTGGAGTAAAAAATACAGAATAAAATACCATAGTTAACAGGATTCATTGCCGACAGATGGAGGAAGTCTTTTAGACTAGAAAGAATCGTTTTGCACATTAGTGGTTCCAGTTGTAACAGTTGTGGATACTGAATTATTACGGTGATGTGCGATCACGTTCGAGGTTGTCTGTCTCCAAACGGGAATAGGGCGCAAAAAGTAATCAGCCGCGAACGGTTTCTTCCGCAATATCTCAGATTGATCGATTTCAGTATGATGACAATACAACTCACTACCGGATCTCAATCATGCTGAAATAAGCCGAGAAAATATGCGTCCGGGGATGCAAACAACCGTCGGTTTCACTAAAGAATAATGTTTTCCCTTTTTTCATTTTGGTCCCTTTTATTGTATATCAGAGTCAAAGTTTTATTATGGGAATAGCTTACAAGCTGGTGCTTCTCTTGTCCCATAGGATGTTTACATAGATGAATCGTTACACATCAAAAAAGGAGTTACATAGGGATCCGGGTAGGAGATAGAGAATGTAGGCTACAGTGAATCCCGTTTGCCTTTAGTGTACGAATGTGAGGTGTGCCAAGATTTTGTCGAGTCTCTGCTTGAAAGATTCAATAGTGGGTGCACAAACGACATGAGATGGAAGGGCATTCCAAGGTTTGCATACTCTGACAGCAAAAGACTGGCGCCGGCAATCCAGTCGAGACTTTGGAATCAGTAGTTTGAAACGGTGTCCCCTTAGGTGTACATTGTATACATAATGATAAAAGTCTCAGAAGGATGACAACACATGGATTATTTCTGACTAAACTGTAATGTTGCATAACAGCACTGGAGGGTTTGTTCACCTGGTGAATTTCGTCGTGTAAAGAGCAAACGAAACTTGAACTAAAAACTCAGGGGGAGCCCTTTGAACCTTTCATCAGCAGTGAGCGAATCCATCGGCCCAAATTGGGATGGAACCGGGGACCTCGCACGCACAAAGCAAGCATACTATCCACTAGGCCACCACGCAGCTGATTAGGCCGTTTTTTCCCTTTCATTATACAAAGCACAATCCAACTTGACCAGATTAACGCAGGCATCACACCTTGCGCATCTCAGCAACTTTTTAATTACACACCAGTATGTGATGAGCAGCACACAGGGCGAACCCCATAGTCACGGAGACCTGCTGTTCAGTGATGGTAATCTGTAACCTAAGCCCCGGAACTTGGAGAGGTGTTGGGACGAAGATCTTAATTCTTCGTCCAAAGATAAGCCCGGCTGCATGTTCGCTAATTCTGGGAAGAAAATCGTACAAATTTACAACACATTTGACCCTGATGAGGGTCATATCGGATCAATACTAATCTCGCGGAGATTAATCAATAATATTGTGTCGTACGGTAATATTCAATCTGTCCGTCTGTTTGATCCGTGGTCTATAACTGGTTGAAAGTTTCCGGTTGTGTAGTTGATTGGTACAATCTTTTTCTTGCATTGATCCATGTTATTTTTGAGTTACATATAAGCATCAGAGTAAAACTTGTAAATTCATTTGTGACTTGTGTGCAAGGCCATTAAAAACCCGTGCTGTTGAAGCTGTGTCTTCTCCCTCGTGTTTTGGGAAGCCTGAGAGATCGATGGCCGACCGTGCGTCCTGTGTTTCGCCCAGGCAGCTTTCGCTCCCAGAACTATCATTCGTTTACGGACTTAATATTCGTCCGTTGTTCTCGTGTTCCTTTGTGCTATCAGTATTACTGTGCTATACCTTGTGTTCTTTGCACTTGTGGTGTTCACCTGTGATATAGTGCTGTACGGCATAATACAGTCAATCTCCTGCCGTCGCACCCCTGAGAAGTCGCATTTTCCAATATCTTCCCACTTTTTCGAAGACCCAGACCAAATATATGCTTATTAACGTAGTTCCTGACTATGCGGTATCGCACTCCCCAACATGTCGCAGTTCCTGATACGTACGAACTTGGTCGTTGACCGATGTTCGAGACGACCATTGACCATCCACCCTGAAATGTCACACT